GATTTTCCAAAATTGCTATCAATGGAAACATATAAACAACAATTTTCATTAATACCATTGTAAGGATACGTGAAATAAATATGAAAACTACGCTGTTATCTATTCTTAAGCAATCAATCATAACTCTTAAGCAGCAAGTCAAGCATCTGATCATCGAACCATGTAATCAAAATCCATCTCTTCACAATCAGAATCATCTTACTTTTCTTTTAAGCTTCATTTGATTCTACTAAACATCAAAATTTAATTACATTACATCATGTATTAAGAGTCTCCAAATAGGAACTTAATAGAGTTAGATAGTGGACTTTACCTGAAGTAGAGTCAAACTTTTGTCTTTACCATCTCTTAGATCTCTTAGGTGGTCAGGGCAACTTTGCTTCCAATGTCCCTTTTATTGGAAAAAACAATCCTATAAATGGCCTTTCTCTTATGTTCAAACCTTTAACTTCATCCAATTTCTCTCTCCTAGGAGAAAAAATCATTTCTGGATTGTTCCATGGAAACTTGGGAAGTAGATCTTCCAATAACATTTGCTTCATCAGTGCTCCAAATCATTGTTAATTCAGCAGCCACAAATAAATAGGTAAGATCGATAAGGTTCATGTCGTGATCTGTCATCAGGGAGTGACTAAAGAACCAAGTCAACAACCAGCTTCCGCAAAACTTTGACACCCAACTATCCCAGCTTGTCAATATGTAACTATATCTCCAAGACCTGATCACATATAGACTATGCTTGCCAATAGGGTTTGAGTGACCTTAAACTTGTGGGTTAGGGAGAATAATTGGAGGAGGTGGAGGAAGTGAAGTATGATTTCCAGTCACATTAATGCATGACAAAGGGATTGATCTTTCACCTTGACTGCCATATGGGATATCATCTTCATTAGGAAAGCTTTATCCAAAAGGATAAGGACGACCATAGTTGTCTGAACTAGACATCTATGAGGAAGAAATTAAAGTTTAGTTGATTTAAGTCCATAATATAACACTTAATATGAAATATTAAGGCTAGGACGCAACACAATATTTTATAACTTGGAAGAGGGATGCCGTAATCCAAGCTACAAAATATTTGAACGTAGGTAAATGATGATTTACCAATATCTACCATCAAAAACGAAAAGAAACTTTAGGTTTTAAATGAATTTAAACTCCTAGATCTTTTGAGATTAATTCAACCTTTCAATGGCATGTTTAAATCTCAATTGATGTCACACCCCCAAACCGAATTGGCAGAAACATTCGGGGGCGTAGGACGTCATGTCAAGTATTACAACACATGAATTTATAGAAATAAAAGTACAACAACCATTTCATTAATAATGTATAAGTTTTTACATGAGTTCAACGTTAGATATTTAACCATCAAAATATAGATATAGTAAAGGACAAAAGGCGGAACATGATACTAAGCTATCTTCTTGAAAGCTTCGGGAGTGTACTTGTCTACTGGATTCCTGAGAATACAAGTTATTTTGAAAGAGAGGATTATCATTTAATCCTAGTGAGTTCATAAGTATTCAGTTATGGTTGTTTTAGTTTTAAGAAAACGACTTAGTTTACTCCAGAAAGTCCTCTACTTCCTGCTTTACAACTGGAAAGTAGTTTTACTCCATAAAACCGCTCTGATTAAGCGTTATTGTACTTATAAACTCTTTAAACATAATTTTAACCTTTCATAAAATTAGAAGTTGAATGTTTTCTGTCTAGTTTTAAAAGTAGTTTTAATTCCTTAAAACCGTTCCTTTTGTAGTTATAATCCCATAAAACCGTTCCTTTTGTAAAAGTAGTTTTAATCTGATAAAACCGTTCCGTTTGTAGTTTTAATCCCATAAAAACGTTCCTTTTGTAAAAGTAGTTTTAATCCCATAAAACCATTCCATTTGTAATTTTAATCCCTTAAAACTCTTCCTTTTGTAAAATTAGTTTTAATCCCAAAAATCGGTTCCTCTAGTTTGTGGCAAAATGATTAATGTAGTAGTATTTATTAAGCATGCACTACTGAGGCAATCACAACCCTGATATTAAGATTATTAATTTAGGTTACGGTGTGATGAGTTTATAAACCATAAATGTACACTATTGGTGTAATGACAACCCTGTAATTAAGATTATTAATTAGGGTTAAAATGTGATAAAGCTATAACCATGCTGATAGACTAGAATAAACACGACGACCTTCTAGCGTCGAAAATGAATATGTGACTTTCGTCACCCGTAGACCGATAGGTCCCATTGTAGCTAGCACCAAGGTGTGGGGTTGTCGGTCCCGTATAGATCTATACACATAATGCCCACTCTCCCTCTAGGAGAATCTTGTTATAAGAGAGTGACATAGCAAGGATATTGTTATGTCCTGAAAACGTACCATCACATTTTGGTTTATTTTTTTGAAGTAAAGACTGAATATTATTAAAGAGACCTTTAGATCAATCGATATATCAAACAAAGACAATAAATAAGAACAAGAGAAATTCACGAAGAAAAACTTTCACTAAGAAAGATAATCTCACAAAGAGATTATCGTGTGCACAAAGCGACAATTAGGGTTTGTGAAAACGCACGCATTCACAAACCTGTACAAGATAATATATACTGTTATTTTAGACAATCCCTACAATCCAGGGATATGCCAGCTAACTAATTTACGCTAACTATGGAAACAAGATAAATACAAAAAACTGTTACAATGTGCTGAATAAATATATATATATATATATATATATATATATATATATATATATATATATATATATATATATATATATATATATATATACTGATCAACTGAGATGCTGATACTGATGCTGATGCTGAGTCATGCGCTGACGCTGATAGACTAGTTTCAAACATCATCATATTTCAAGGTTTGACCTTACAATCTCCCCCAATATGATGATGTTCAAAACCAACTAGATTAGAACACCTCTGGACAAGTATTCTTCATACTCAGCTTCAGCTTCAATTTTAACTGGCCAGTAAGGACTGTCCAGCAATTCCTGTCTTTTGTTCAGCAGCTCCATGGCAATAAGAATGTGAAATTCTCCGGATAGATCTTGATGACTCATGCACATTTGCCTTAAGCCAACAAGGTGAGTGGTTGGAGCCTTTAGGATCTCAGTAGTTCGTTGAAAGCACATCCTCCTGTTTTTGTCCAGATAGAACATCCCGTGTTCAGGAGCTGAGATGAATTGATGCTGAACCGGATCAACACGGAGAGGAAGAGAATTATTAATCACATCAGCACCGAAGTCTAAAACCAGTACTTCTTCACCATCAACATGAAACTTGGTTCTTCGAGATCTAGGAACTGACGACCTTTGTCCTTGATGCTGAGGTCGTTCTTTGGGAGCAAGATCCAAACGCTGAACCTTCTTGATCAGTAGATGAAGAGCACAAGTCAGTTCGGAAGAGTGAGCTGAGGTTTGCTTGGATGCTAGATCAAGCAGTTCCATCCATTCCGAATACCCATATCTAATCAGCTCATCCCTTTTGACAACTTCAGTATATCAGTGCTGAGGACCTTGACGAGTGATCAGCAACGTAAGGATTTTCTCGTTTCGAGTTTTAGAAGCTTTGACTTTGATGATATTATCTCCACACATTCGACGATTAAAAACATCTTCAAATCTCTTTCGATCAATCCGGTCAAGAACACTGTCAGTCTTAGGCTTGCTAGAGCTAGGAGGAGGTTGAGAAGACTTAGCCTTGGATTGAAATTCCAGGAACTTCTGCATCTGAGCTTCAAACGATCCCTTGGCCTGAAGTTTGTGCTGAATAAGGGATTCATCAGCTTGAGCAATGTTCTTTAGAAGCTGAGCTTGATTGGCTTCATCAAGAATTTGCTTGACTTGGTCAGGGGACATGTTCCATTCAGTGGCAAGGTTTGAAATACTGACAATGGACTTAGGTTTCTTCACAGTTGAAGAAGTATCAGTTTGAGAATGATCCAAGTCAGTATCTGCTACCTTCGGCTTTCGAGACAGCGGATGAGATTCTTCACTGGCAATGTCCGAATCCTCTCCTTGGACCGGAATGATGGGATCAGCAATAGAATCGGTTAGTATCGGAGGAGATTCTTCAAGGTCATCTGAGCTTTCTTGCTAAACTGGAATGAGGGGATCAATGAAGTTCATGTCAAGAATTTGACATTCATCATCAGGTTCATCATGCTCTTCATTATGCTCACTGTCTTCAAACAATTTTTCAGTAGCTGCTGGACTATTATGCCCCGCAGAATCAGATTCAGGAATGGGGTTGTGTGATTCATGCTGAAAGATAGTGTTGTCAGCAGGTTCCGTGTCTTTCTCATTTGGTTCACCATCAGCATGATCATCAGCATCAGCATCATCATTAGTATCTCCCCCTTTTTGAGCATCATCAGATTTGGGACTAGAAGGAGGATTAAGTAAGAGAACCTCCTTTATTTGTTGAACATCAGCCTCAATGCGAAGCAGACGCTGACTCATGTCCCGAGTCAGTGACATCAGTTCAGAAAAAGCTGAAGCGGGAATTTGAACCATTGAGGTACCTGGGGCAACTGGAGAGCTAGGCTGCATCCTTGGAGAGAAGTGGTGAGCTGTTGGTGATGGATGCTCCCCCTGAGACTGATGCTCCCCCTGTGAGGGAGGCTCCCCCTGCGAGGGATGCTCCCCCAGAGGCATGGAATCCTGTGGTGCAGAGGAGACTTTGCCAGTGTCCGAGATAAGGTGATGAGATAGTTGAGGTGAGAGATGTCCGCCATCATGATGTTCCACCTCTTGATCAGCAAGATCCATATGATTACCATCAGCACCTCCTTCATCAGTGTCAACGGTGAGAGAAGGCATAATGTATGGATTGGCAATCCATTCTCTCATCCGATCGGAGATTCCAATGTCGGTATCTAAACGATCATCCTGATACATACGAACTGACATTCGAGGACATTGGATTGGATTCCCAGAGTGAGAAAAGTAGTCAGCAGCGAAGAACTTGTCGAATACTAGGGCAATTCAGCATGGAAAGGGAACATGATCAGCACGTACATTTGCTCGTAGAAGCTGAACAAGCTGATCAAAGAAAAGTGCCCCATAATCCAGTCTTTTGTTGAGAAGAAGGGAGCAGACAACTTGTTGCTGATAATTGCTCAGTTGGTCACCACTACGAGACTTGTGACCCACACACTTGCACAGAGCTCCAGTGAAAAACTTCCAGCCTAGGGTCATACATTGACGCAAAATAAGAGCTGATCGAGTGCCAGCCTTTGAGTGATCATAGCCGAGTTGATCAAACATGCGTTTACATCTTTCAATAGATGGAGGTTCAGAGAAGGGTTCGAAGATTGGTAACCTTAAAGCAGCACTGAGAAGTTCTGCGGTGATGAAGACAGAGTGTCTTCCATGGCCAATGGTTCCGGTGATGGCGTTGTTTTCTTCATTAACGGTTGCAGTGTAGTAGAACTCGCATACTTGTTCTGGGAAGAACTGGGATGGTACATCGCTGATTGCATATCGAAGGAGACAAGAAGCCAAGAAATTTACGAAATCATCGAGTCCAAGACCTCGATGAACCTCTGGAATGTCGGGGTTGAAGACTACATTGGTGGCCTTGATGTGAATGGGAAGAGGAGGAGAGTTTGGAGCAGGAATGACCCTTCGAGAAGTTGAGGAGTATGTGAACAGAGATGCCGCCATTGGAGAGTATTTGAGAATTCTAGGGTTTTTGAGAGAGGTTCAAGATTTTTGGGAAGGAGAAATTAAACCAAGGGAGAAAGAGGTTTAAATATGGAATAAAAGGGTTTTTAAAAGGTAATGATTATCTTATGATCTGCTTGATTATCGTCATTAAGGATAACGGCGCATCGTAACAACCTGTCAGAGTAGAAAATAGCCGTTTGATAAAAGAGCCATTGACAGAAGATGAAACATCAATCAGTGTGTTTGCGGAAGCGCTGAGCTCAGTGTCACAAAAGTTACATGCTGAAAAAAAATTTCTATGTCAATTCAAGGTACAACTTGCTTAATCGGGGCTAGCAAGGAGATTGGTGCGTGTGATAGATACTAGTTACATTATCTAACCATCGGCATAGATTTTTAGATTCTCATCAGCGTGTGTTTTGGCACACTGAATCACAGAATCAGTAAAAGATTGGTAAGAAGGGATAGTTGCGTGTGATAGATCTTAGTGTTTTGATCTAACCATCGGCAAAGATTTTTAGATTCTCATCAGTGTGTGTTTTGTCACACTAAATCATGAAACCAGTGTAAGATTGGTAAGAAGGGATAGTTGCGTGTGATAGATCTTGGTGTTTTGATCTAACCATCGGCAAAGAGTTTCAAGTCGTTATCAGTGTATGGTTTAATACAGTGAATCATTCAACTTTTGTTTAGAAGACTTGAAGAAGAGATAAAGATAAGAAATCAAACCTAAGTGCTTAGTAGCAAATATCATAAGTATGTCATCATCAGCACAATGTACATCAACTTATAAGACAGTATCAAACATTAGCACAATTAAACGTCAAAATTAATTACAAGGAAATCATTCCCAGTTCTCCGATAATGTAAGTAGTTGATTGAGAATCCAATGCCTTTGTGAAGATATCAGCAAGTTGCTCCGAAGTCTTGACATGTTCAAGAACAACTTTTCCTTTTTCAACATTATCTCTGATGAAGTGATGTCTGATCTCGATATGCTTTGTCTTTGAGTGCTGAACATGATTTTGTGTGATCTGAATGGCACTGGTGTTGTCACAATAGATGGGAGTCTTTGAGAACTTGAACCCATAGTAGAGAAGCTTGAATCCATAAGAGCTGAGCACAGCATCTTCCAGCGGCAACATACTCAGCTTCTGCAGTTGAGATGGCAACTGATGTTTGCTTCTTGCTAGACCAGCTGATGAGACGGTTGCCAAGGAAGTGACATCCACGAGATGTACTCTTTTTGTCTAAATTGCATCCTACATAATCTGAGTCAGTGTATCCATAAAGTTCAAATGCTGAGTCGCGAGGATACCACAGTGCAAGGTTTTGAGTTCCCTTTAAGTATCGAAAAATACATTTGACAGCCATGAGATGAGATTCTTTGGGATTAGCTTGGAATCGAGCACAGAGAATGGTTCCAAACATGATATCAGGACGACTTGCTGTGAGATATAAGAGGGATCCAATCATTCCTTGATACAGAGAGTGATTGACATCTGTTCCAGTTGGATCAGCGTGTAGCTTATCAGTCTTAGATACTGGGGTAGAGGCTGGCTTGGAGTCACTGAGAGAATACTTAACAAGCAGGTCAGAAATATATTTACTTTGACAAATGGAAATACCTGTCTTTTGTTACTGAACCTCAAGACCTAAGAAAAAGGTCATCTTTCCCATCATGCTCATTTCGAACCTTTGAGACATGATCTCTGCAAATTCCTTGCTTAGTGTCTCATTTGGAGAGCCAAAAATAATGTCATCGACATAAATTTGAACAAGAACCATATCTGAGCCTTTGTTTTTGATGAAGAGAGTGTTGTCGATTGCTCCGCGTCTGTATCCATTTTCAAGCAGATACGATGTCAGTGTCTCATACCAAGCCCTGGGAGCTTGCTTCAGTCCATAAACAGCGTTATCTAACCGGTACACGTAATCAGGATGATCTTTGTCCACAAAGCCTGGGGGTTGTTTTAGGAACACTTCTTCTTCTAACACACCATGAAGGAATGCTGTCTTCACATCCATCTGATAGACAATGAAGTTCATGTAGGATGCGTATGCGAGAAACAGCCTGATAGCTTCAATGCGAGCAACTGGGGCAAAAGTTTCCCCATAGTCGATAGATTCAATCTGAGTGAACCTTTGAGCTACAAGCCTTGCCTTGTTGCGAGTGATGATACCATCTTTATCAACCTTGTTACGATAGACCCAGCGAGTTCCTGTGATAGTCTTCCCGGAAGGTCTTGGGACAAGAGTCCAAACTCATTCAGTTCTTCTTGCATGGCTTGGATCCAATCAGCATCTTGAAGAGTTGTGTGTACTTTATCAGGCAAGATCATTGAAACAAAGTTAACATACATGCAAAAGTTATTAAGCATACTAGATCTAGTTCGGACACCATCATGAATATTCCCTATAATTCGATCAACAGGATGATCTCGATGTTCAATGACTGATGCTGATTCTGGAGAGATAGATACTAACACATTATCAGTTTCAGGAGAGTCCTCAACTTCAAGGGTTTCATCAGCATCTAATGAGTTATCTGCTGATGTGGCTGTAGTATCTTGACTCAAGGAACATGGAACTGGAATGATAGGATCAGAGGAATCAGTCTTATCTTCTGTAGAAGGTGCTTCATCGAATGGACAAGAGAGAAGCTCTTGAAAGATAGAAGGAGAATGAGTGACTTTTACATCAGTGTATGATTCCTCATCAAACTTCACATGAATGGATTCTTCAACACATTGCCTGTTCACATGAAAAACACGAAAAGCTTTTGAAATAGATGAGTACCCAACAAAAATACCTTTATCAGCCTTAGGTTCAAACTTGGATCTTGGATCACGCTGATTTAGAATATAACAAATGCATCGGAACACATGAAAAAAAAGATACATCTGGTTTTCGATCTTTCAGCATTTCATATGGAGTCTTCTTGTGAATCCTATGAATTAGAGATCGATTCTGAGTAAAACATGCTGTATTGACAGCTTCATCCCAAAACGACATAGGAAGACCAGCATGGATCATCAAAGTCCTTCCTGCCTCAATCAGTGTTCTATTTCTTCGTTCAGCAACACCATTTTGCTGAGGAGTGCGAGGAGCTGAGAAGTTTTGTCCAATTCCTTTATGATCACAAAATTCTTCAAGAGTTGAGTTTCGGAACTCAGTGCCATGATCACTTCTTAGTTGCTTAACTTTAAGACCTGTCAGTGTCTCATTTTTACGAATCAGCGAGATGATTTCCTGTGCAGCCTGACTTTTCTTCTTCAAGAAAATTACCCATGTAAATCGAGTGAACTCATCAACAACCACTAGAGTATACTTATTTCCACCTAGAGAACGAACAGGAATAGGTCCAAACAGGTCCATGTGGAGTAGATGAAGAGGGACTGATATACTGGAACATGACTTGGGTTTGAAAGAGGACTTGGTTTGTTTTCCTTGTTCACACGCTGAACACATCTTGTCTTTCACAACGCTGAATTTTGGGAGCCCTCTAACTAGATCTTGATTGGATATCTTGGATAGATTCTTGAAGTTCAGATGAGAAAACCTTTTGTGCCAAATCCAGTTAAGATTCGTCTGAGACTTTGAAAAGAAACATTGCATCAGTGCCTTGTAACTTGAGAACATGTCAAGAACATATATATCATCTTTTCTATTTGCTGAGAGTACAATGTTCTTGTCAGTGTTAACAACTCTTCCTTCCTTCTTTGTAAAGTGAACTTCATAGTCAGAATCACACAACTGACTGATAGAAATGAGGTTGTGTTTGAGACCCTTTACATATGAAACGTTTTGAAAAACCACGTTATTGCATTTGATGTTTCCATATCCCTTAGTGAACCCCTTTCCATTGTCTCCATAAGTGACTGCAGGACCAATTTTCTTAACATAATCTTCCAGGAGAGACTTTGATCCTGTCATATGCCTTGAGCAACCACTATCTAAATACCAAAGATGCTCCTGACCCTGCAGTACTGAGAAACTAGTTAGAACACACTGACCCATTCGAAGATGGGTCATTCACGAAGTTATCTGATAATAAATTATAACTTTCCTTAGAAAGACAATTTAAAGAGTTTGACTTAAGAGTCCATTTTTCATTCCTAACTTTAATATTTTCAGCTCTTGAGGAAGATTTATCAAAAGAACATTCACTGATCTTGTGAGAGGAGTCACCACATCTGTAACAAACTCTAGTTCCAAAGTTCTTCTTGGTGAGCAAATTTTTTGATTTAACACATTTTGATATGTAGGATTCACAAATAGCGCTTTGAGTCCTTTTGTTTATCACTAAGTCACGACTGAGTTCAGTGTCATAATGAATTTGATCAGTGTTAGAGGATGAAATATCAGTATCTGATTTTGACTCATTCACAGATGGATTGCAATCAGGGAGGTGCTTGAGTTGTTCATGAACAACATGAAACACTCCATTAGAAATAGGAAAAGCAATAATATTTTCAGTCATAGGGGTTGGTCTAACAAGATGTGTAGGATAAGAGGTAGGATCAATTCCAGTAATTTCAACATTACATTCAGTGATACCATCAGAATTAACAGTGCAATATTCATCAATTAAACTTTGATTAATAAAAGAGTTACTGACAAACTTATTTTTGAAATTATGTTTCATTTCTTTCATGGAATAGACCTCAGATTCCTTTTCTTGTGATTTAAAAACCTTTTCAGCTTCTGCAAAATTACCCCCAAGAATTTTTTCACAAGAATGAGGAATTTGAGTTGAGATAATATAATTGGCATTCTTATGAGATTTTGCCCAAGTGTAGAGCACAGTTAGTTCTTTAATCAAAAGATTTTTAACATCGTCAATTTTAGCAGACAAGGATGAATTTGACAAACTGGTAATTCTAAGATTTTCCTGAGTGGACTCAATAATGCTATTTTTTATGGATATATCAGTTTCAAGAAGATCAATTTGATTTTGCAAATTTCTTATGGTTTGATTTTTCTTAGAATTAATG